CAACTCTTATTGGCTTTTGGAGCACTAATTACACTGTTGGAAATTTTTCTCATCAAGAGCAAAATTATTTTTATCGACAACATATTTGTTAAACATTGAACAACACTGCTTCAGCTTACTTAATCCTGCACAGGTTCGAATGAGAACTCATGATTGTTGTGTCACTTATGTGCAGTTTTTAACATTACAGCCAATTAACTGGCTTTGGCTCAAACATTATACGCCTTTAATTTTAAATTCAGTGATGGATAAAAATATGTCAAATACAAGCTATGTTTTGCTATCAACACTTAAATGTTTCATAGGAATTCAAAAGGCAGCAAAGGTGTTGGCACTGCACATACGCGTAGTTAAAGTACTAACCCAAAAAAAATAAAAGAGTCAACTTAAAAAAATTAAATTATTTAATAACAAATAATCGGGCCGGAGTTTTTTTTTTTAAATTAAAGATGACGAACGAGAATATAGTCCATCTGCTAGCGGTATTTGTGGCCGTAGACACATATCTGTCTAGTTATCTTCGATTAAGAATTAATGCTTTATAACCTCTGACCCAGAATAACTTGTTACCAGTAGAGAGGATCTTCGGTTCTCACACCAACACTCACTGAACGAAACACAGCTGCATTTTGTTGCTGTTTCGCATTGGTATTTTATGCGAACGTAGTTCTCCGCCAGTCGAGCCGACCCATTCGTGCTATAACAATATAGCTGCAGTAAACTACGTCTTAGAAACTATTTCTTTCTTTTTTAGTTCTTTACAGTCAAAACACGCCTTGACTCTACCACATATAATATACTTATAACTTTTCTATACTTATAAGTTTTGCTCTGTTTTTACCTATTTTAAGATTCATGATACCTTTCTCCTTAAAATTTCCTGTGTTTTAAGGTTTTCCGAAATATACTACTTAATTTGAAAAAAAAATAGTATTCTAATTTCCCAACTGAAATAATTTCAAATAGTTAAAATTTTTCTTTGTATATTTATCTGTAATCTTTAATCGGTAATCTGTAATTTTTGCGCTACATTTAAATTTTTACATAAAATAAATTAAGAGGAAATTCCCTGTTATGGACTGATGGGTGAACACAGAGATTACGTATTCCAATTTTGACACGGATCACTAAATAGCCAATTAAAGCTATCATAATTACCAAAACCAAAATTATACATAACGCTGTTTCATTTTGAATCTAATAACGCTGTCTTATAATATTGGTCCTTCGAGCCGGACAATATTTCAATCATCACACGAGACAGTTTCATTTGCTAACTTAAACCAATTACTACTAAAAAAATTAATAATCAAAAGTCCATCCAGTATAATAATTAAAAGATAATCCCTGGTGTCTAATAATTATGTTGAAAACTTTGAAATTTAAATACGTAAGACTTGGATTTTGACTGGAATATTTAAGCTGGATAGCCACGCTGCAGCTGTATAAGTTACAGCACGAATATAGGCTCGACCGGGGGTAGGAACACGCTCTCATAGAAAACCACCGTAAAATAGCAGCTCAATGTTGCTGTGTTTCATATAGTGAGTCAACATTAGTGCCACATGGTTTTCAGGTCACTCTCACTCCTACCCTTCTTTGCCCTCTATCTCTGACACTGCATCTTAGCATACCTGCGACTTTATCTCATAGGTTTACATAAGGATAGTGTAGGTTTAAACTAAAAACTGTAGGTATTAACAATTGTGTATAGCGTTGCGAAATATCCAGCTTTGTTCAAAGTCTATAACAACTTAAAAAGTTAAATTTAAATATTGCAACCAATTTCATTAGGTATTAAATTTACCCGCATCAATTCAATAAGCAATACTGCGGGGACATTGGCAAATGATACGTCCAATTACATTATTCAAATCCCATGCGGATTAGTCACTTACACAAATTAATTTGGCCAATGAATAGATAATTTTTATGGGCTATAGAACGCCGGTATTACACGCTTTAGTGCCGTATACCATGCATGCTTTGAAATAGATAACGCTGTTTTTAGAAAAAATCGTCTTTACCAAAGCATTGGGAGATTTAAACAAGCGGTCAGAAAGAGTTGCTTTTATGTACTTACGAGTTACTTATGATAAACTTAACTTTAGTTTGTCACTATAAAACATAACCGTGTAGTGGCGGTGTTAGAGTATCCACTTTTTACGTGGTAGAGCCATGCCGCAGCTATATTACTGGTATAGTTGTAGTAGGAGTGGGTCGACTCGACCGGGGAAAGACCACACTCTCACAGAATACCAGCGTCAAATAGCAGCTTAACGCTACATCGTTTGGTGAGTGTAGAGAAACGGAGACCCTTTTTACTGAAAACGAGGCATTCCATCTTAGTACTCATGGGTGACAACGCATCTGCATTTTGATTCGTTATCGAGGATAGATTGTAGATCTCTATGGGTCACAGTAACCACTTACCATCGGGTGTACTGTCTACTTGTTTGCACCCTTCTACTATAAAAAAGAAAAAAACCAATATCATCTCGAGGGTTAAGAGGCGACAGACGTAACATGAAATAGGAGATGGGCAGCAGCATCTTCTTGATAACAACTCAAAATAATAAAAAAAATCGGTGGCAACTATGGCAAAATCCTCCCATGAGGTAATCCATAAGCGAGGCGTATGTTCAGCAGTGGACTTTAATACGCTGTAAATGGATGGATGTATAGGAGATGCTTAACCAGGAGCACATGACCCACTGAGAGGTGAAATTATTAAATCAACGGTAACATTACAACTATGGCAAATATCCCCTTATGAGGCAATCTATGGGGGAGGCCTACGTTTATCAGTTGACTTTTATAGACTGTAATGGATGGAAACTGGTTTATTTTTGTGGATAGGCTTCGTGTTATCTTTTTTCATCCTAAGCCATCTTAATTAAAGTAACAATTAAAATAATAAAAAAAAACCAAATTCAAAAACTAAAAAAATATATAAGTTTCTGATGATTATGATGATGATTTGTATCGAAGAATTACGATTAAAGCCTCGACTTCAAAAGCGACTCGTATTATGTAAAAATTCTTTTGTTTACTTTTTATTACAAGTTAAATTATTTTACCTTTTGAGTGGTCTAAGAAATGTCGGATCAAGATTAAACGTAGGATGTTTAAACGACATAGGTATAGATATTTATATAGGTATTAAAACTTTCGCCCCACATTTTTACCCCGTACGGATGGAATTATATATTTAAATTTATATGAGACTAACCTGAAATTTACTAAAAATAACTCATAAAAATTAGTTCAACCGTTTCCGAGAAACCTGTGAACATACATTAAAAAAATCCAATCGAATATAGAACATTATTGTTTTTTCGAACTCAGTTAAAAATAACCATTGCTTCCATATCATGAACTCAACAATGAACTTCCTCTTGAACTTGATCAATTCAATAAAAAATATTATGACGTGTATCAAATTATAATACAATCTATTCCATTTTATTATGAACTATCATGAGTTGTTATAAAATACATTTCTCGTTGTTCACAAATGGCAATGTGCGATTAAACCTGTTTAAATGAAAAATAGACTTTATAAACGTGCGTATTAGATTCGTATTGGTTTACAAATTGATTAAAGAGCTAAAATGTGTCGCTTGGCCTCATTGCAAAGGCTTCATCGCATTAAGGTTCACGTGTTCAGGATTTTTTGTCACAGTACTGTATTTATTTGCGTAAATAGTCGATAACGTTTTTAAGACTTAATTCTAATTTTAAAATATTTAGATTTCTATAAATGTTTATATTACTAATGTTTTAAAATATATATTTATCTACTTGCCCTATAACTATTATACCATAAATGATAAATTCGCAGGAAAAAATTCTAAAAACGGTCGTCGTCTTTCGTTAATATCGATCTAATAAATGAATTTCAAAAGTGACCATCATTTTGAATAAAACTGACGACAAGCAAACTAACAGTCTACCTGATGATGAATAGAGTCCTGCAGCCGTCGTGATACAAAGACGGCAAAGAATGCGTTGTCAAATCTGAGGAATAACCGTGGTAGAACCATGCTGCAGCTATATTAGTAGTATAGTTGTAGCAGATCGACCAGGGAAGGACTAAAGATCCGGAGAGAGAATCCGGAGATCCTTTTAACCGGAAAAGAGGCATTCCATCTTAATTCTCATGGGTGACAACGCATCTGTATTTTGATTCGTGATTGAAAGAATCAGTGCAAACACTGCTATTAACCGCATAAATACGTAAGAGGGTGGCCCATATGGTCGGACGGACGCCCAGACTGGAAGAACTCCCACCACATCGTAAATTATCATCTAAAGGGAAAGAGGAAATGTTTGGTAAGATAGCTTACATGTTAGTGAACTACCTTTTTAACATTGTAGAGCCATGCTGCAGCTATATTAATAGTATAGTTGTAGCACGAATGCTCGGCCGGGGCAGGACCACTCACAGAATACCAGCGTAAAATAGCAGTGGAATTCTGTATAGTAAGTGTAGAGAACCGGAGACCATTTTCACTGGATGCGAGCCATTCTATCTTAGTCCTCAGGGGTGACAACGCATTTGCATTTTGATTCTTGAATAGAAGATAAATGTGGATGTCTACGGGTCACAGCATCCACTTATCATTAGGTGGACTGTGTGCCCGTTTGACTAACTGAGCAGTAAGTAGTTTGTTAAGTACTTACAGTAGTTTAATAATCACAGTTTAATCCCATTTTTTATATTTTATCACGTTTTTACGTTGACACATTAGTCACGTAATCTAAGAAAAAATTAAGAATTTAAAAAAAGTATTAAAAAGTGATAAGTATACCTTAGGCAACTAGCAGTACGGACCACTACTTGATATTGATGTAAGCAAACATTGCTATATGCTAAGGTAATGATTTCATAAAAATATAAAAAAGCAGGACCTACAAAGTACCACCCTTAGAGTATACACATACATCGTTAATAATACGTTATTTAATAAAAACTAAAAAGGTATGTTGATATAATCTTACCTTTGTCTTCTAGAAGGCACTAAAAAATTCAAAGGTTCAGCTGATTTCCTCCGGCCCTTCACCACTGGGACAGCTAATAAATCTTCTTCGTCTGTTTCAGATCCTGTACTCTCTAAATTAACTATTGCGGGCGCCGACATTCTTCTGTCTGAAATTTTCTTCGGAGGTTTAAGCATATTTCTGATTACCTCACAATACTTGCAAGTGTTGGCTTCGGCAAAGTACGCCTTTGTAATAGCATATGCATAATTTTCTAAGAAACATTTATGGCACCCTGGTACATAATTATTTTCTAAGTCCATTGATTCTTCACTCGGGTCTTGCTTTTTCATCATTATTTTCTTTTCCATTGTCGCTAAATTTATATTAAATATTTTCTTACTTTCTTCTTTATACCTTTTTTCTTCCTCTTCTCGCTTCTTTTTGCGTATTTCCTTTAAGCACTCGTCTTGATCATTGTAGTATTCGATGCATCGGCGTTCATTTTTGGACGGTTTAGTAGGACTTCTTTTTCTTATTTTTTTATTGCTAACATTAACATTAAGTGGCTCTATTCTCAATGATTTCATTTGTTTTATAATATGTTCTTGAACATAAGGGCGTGTGTAATCCGATAATTCATCTTCGTCATTGGCAATGTTCTGAGCGTAATTTATTTTGGCACATGCTACGTTGTCTTTGTTACTATTAGCTATTTTATCTTGTTTACTAAACTCTTTGATCTCTCGATCTCCGTTAAATTTATAGCCGTTTTTCTCTGTACACTTCAGGGACGTTGAGTCATCGTCGAGACATGTTTCGTATCCGTCTATTTCATGATCTATAAACAGTAATGTATTATTTTCTTCTTGGACGGATATTCTTGTAGTTGCATCATAAAAGCTACTCGTTTCATCCGTAGGCGAATTTAAGCACTCTTTCCAGCTTTCATCACTTTTTACCTTTTGTAACGTTTCTTCCTTGGTGTCCGCTATGTCACTCTCTTTCCAATACTTTTCATAACTTATTCTTTCTAAGCCTGTAGGTGTTACAGCAAAAACCATTTCGTCAGAGGTAGATAAGTCCTTACTATTTTGTTTAGAAAGACTTCTGCTTCCATATGCCTCTTTTCTGTCTGCAGACTTACTTCTTATATTTAATTCTCTAGGTGAAACTAAAACATCGTCCTCGGTTATTGTCATATCGTCGTCTTGGTCATCCAAAGATTCTTCGGATTTGGAAGACTTATGCTCTGTTATACCATTATATTGTTCTGTAGGCGGTTTGTCTTTCTCACTACAATCCTCTATTTTTTTTCCTTTCTTATAACAATCATCGAAGCTGATGTCACATAATGCGGATAATTCGTCGTCTTTGATTGACGACTCCTCTGGCTCTAAACAAATCTGAATAACTTCAATTCCTTCTCCATATTCTTGAAGGCACTCGTGAAAAGAATCCATGCCAGTATGATCGTCTGAAGCGACGGAGTTCACGCATTCCTGTGAATTTAAATATTGTTACTTTATGGACAACTAAACGTTCTTAAGCCTAAACGTTCTTTAGAGCCGTGGTAGCTCAGATGGTTAACGCTCGCTGTAAATATAACAGAACGCGAGTAACCTGGGATCGATCTCCGCCGGCACCAACAAATTGTTAATTGCAATTTGAAGTGCTGATTTACCACGTGCTCGGCGGTGAAGGAAAACATCGTGAGGAAACCTGCATATCTGAGGAATAAGAAAAAAAATATTTCGAAGACATTTGAAGTTCGCCAACACGCATTGGGGCAGCGCGGCGGACACTTCCTTGCCCTAAAACCCTCTCAGAAATGAGGAAAGGCCTGTGCCCAGCAGTGGGACGTATATGGGTTGTAACTTTAGTTTACTTTACTTTACTAAACGTTCTTAAAGATATTTTTACATTCAACCCAAGGAAATGAGATGACCAATCAACTAGAATGCTTTTTTGACATTTATCATTCATATCATATACATATATATATATATATATATATATATATATATATATATATAAATTTAATTCCGCTTGTTACTGTCTTCGTATATATTTAAACTAAATGTGAGTTTAATTTTTGCAGTATCAAATGCAATTTGTGTAAGTTGAATTTTGTTATAGTTAAAGATGACAAAAGAGCCCGACACGCCATTCCAAGTCAAGCAATCAGCAAATTTGATTAATGATTTTGGAGATATTTTGTTATAAAAGTTCTAAAAAGAAGACGAGACAAGCATCTTTTTATCTCAAGCTGATTCAAACATCTTCAAAGGTATAATAATGTATATAGACTTGTAGTGGTAGTATAAAATAAATTTTAATATTGATTTATTAAATTATACCTACGTAAATATGTTATAGTAAAATGACTACAATCGAAAAATGCTGTACTTGACAGGGGTTGCAACGCATGTTTTGATCTTTTAGAAAAATTCGCGTGCCTTAGGATAAAAACTCAACAAAATTTTGTAACATGGATTGAACGGTATAGGAACGCATATATGTATAGCAAAAACATAATGTATATTAAAAAAATATAAACATTGCTGGACACATCATGTATTTAGGTTGTAGCGCAAATGGGCCGGTTCAACTGGGAAAGGACCACCACTCTCTCATAGAATACCAGTATAAAATAGCAGCTTAATTCTGATGAGTTTCGTATGGTGATTGTAGAGAACCGGAGACCATTTTCACTGAAAAAGAGGTAGTCAATCTTAGTTTTCAGGGGTGATAATACATCTGCATTTTATTTTTAATTGATGATAGATGTAGATGTCTATGAGCCTCAGTATCTACTTACCATCAGGTGGACTGTTTGTTCGATTATCAACCTCATTCAATAAAAACTAAAATAAAAAAATAGACAACAATATGTGTTTTAATAATGTTTATTGCAATACGTCTAACATTGCATTTTACATAAATAACAACATTAAACATAAATCTTACATCCATCTACATAAAGCATTACATTTTATAATAATTTTAAACTCTACATTTTTTTTATTTTTTAAATATTTTGAAATTATAGCTAAAATTTAACAGTGGAAACAGTTTTCTCGTTCATTATAAATTTAATTTAGTAAAGCTGTTTCTTCTTTGTAAAATCTTTTCAAAAATACTAAACTATTATACACATTTCACCTTATTAAGTTGCTCTCTTCAATGATAAGCAAGCTAAACTGGCAAATGAGCTGGCCAAATTGTTTGAAGAACCGACTACAAAAAAGGACGAAATGTTCTCGATGGCAGCTTTACAAGTACTGGGGGCGGCCCCCAGGAATGTAGTCATAACCTGATAGAATATGTAGTATTTAGTTGGATAACAGTGGTTTAGGACCGTGTTTTGTGGCGGAAGGTCTATGTTCAGACGTGAGCTTATGAAAGGATGTAATGATGACGATTTTGAATCATTTACTTAGTTTGAAATATCTATTTCTAGGTCATGAAGCTCTTCTGCCTACCGTGTAGTGGCGGAGTAAAAATATCCACTACCCCATATCATCCTGTGGGTATCGTAAGAGGCGACACAGAGAAAATGAACAGCAGTATCTGATAACTAAAGTTTATAAAAAAACTGCGGTTGCAATCTGTTTGCCAAGCGAGTCACTACTGCAAATATCCCCCTTATGAAGTAATTAATGAGGAAGATTTTTGATATACCGATCATTACGGTGCCTCTAAGTTACAGGTCAGATCTTGTACCGACATACTTCAATAAACATATTTTAACACGTGGTAGAGCCACACTGCAGCTATAATATATTTGTAGCACGAATGGGTCGGCTTGACCAGGGAAGGATCACGCTCTCACGGTATACCAGCGTAAAATAGCAGCTTAATGCTGCTGTGTTTCATATGGTGAGTGTAGAGAACCGGAGACTCGTTTTACTGGAATCGAAGCATTCCATCTTAGCCCTCAGGGGTGACAACGCATCTGAATTTTCACAGCATCCACTTACCATCACGTGGACCGTTTGTTACCCTTATTCTATAAAAAACGAAGGATGTTTGAAATCGATTCAAATATAATTATTATAGAAGAAAATTTTAAATATAATTATTAGCCACAAGTTAAATCATTATAACTACCATATATTTTGACATTTATTTAAAACAAAACAGTCATTTCTAACATGTATTGTTAACTAATACATGTATATTCTTACCTTATGATAATTCACAGACATTTTACACATTGTTAAACAATATAAAAGGAATGTTTTCGAAATGTTTCAGTTTGAGAAAGATTTTTTCACAACTTCATATATCACAAATAGCTCTTGGATTGAGCTAATTTGAACTTTTGACATTGACCTTTGTCAGACTTCTGGATTTCACTTTTAACTTTAACTCGTCTTTTAACTTTGACTTGTATTTTGCCTTTCACTTCGAATTTGACTTTACTGTAAGGGTAGTCAATAATAGTAATTGGCCACTCATTGATCGTCACATATTATATGAAACAACTACGTAATGCTCTACGATGATATTCTCTTACGACTTATTCCTATTTTAAAGAAGCATTAGTACGTGAAAATCACAATTATTTCAATATATTATGTATATTACTCGAAATTATTTACGTAAAAATATAAATTATATTCACATAAAAACTTTCATTAAAATTTTATAATAAAACACTAGAAAAATCCAAAAATCAACAAAATAACATTCACGCGAAAATGGGGTACGAAATGAACGTAGATTATAAATAAATATCCATAGCATTACTATTTTTTATTGCACGAGAGGATAGAAAATTTCATATTAGTTCTACAATGCCAAATTTCATAGAAAAGTAGTCTCTAAATATAAGTTTTAAGGGTTTAAAGAGCTTTAGGTGTGCGCGGTCGAATCGACAGCTTGAATTTTAACGGAATAGCGCCGCGGTCGAATTCAACCGCTTAACGGTCAACCGTCAGTGAAATCATTGATGATCTTCTAAGAAATGAGAGGCAGCCTGTGCCCAGCAGTAAGTCGTTTATTTTTTTATAGAAGAGGGGGCAAACGAGCATGCGGCTCACCTGATGTTAAGTGACTACCGCCGCCCATGATCAACCGCAACACCAGGGGAATTGCAGGTGCGTTGCCGGCCCTTTAGAAAGGAGTAAGCTTTTTTATTGATAGTCCTCAGGTCGTATCGGTCCGGAAAAATCGCCGGTGGTAAACTATTCCACAGAGAGCGACTAGCACTATCCCACGCGGAAGAAAACTTCTTTTGAAACGTACAGTGGTGGACCGCCAAGCATCCAGATGGTGTGGATGGTATCGGAAAGTTTGCTGCGTAGTGTGTTCACGAAATTTGGCGGCTGGGATTAATCCGAACAATTCCTCAGAGCACTCTCCATGGTATATGCGAATGAAAATGCAAAGAGATGCAACATCTCTTCGCAGTGCCAGTGAATCGAGCCGATCGGAGAGCACTCGGTCGTCGACGATTCGAGCCGCTCTGCGCTGGATGCGGTCAAGTGGAAGGAGCTGGTACTGGGGAGCCCCAGCCAAGAGATGGGAACAGAATTCCATGTGCGGCCGAACCTGCGCCTTGTAAAGTTGCAGGCGGTGTGCCGGCATGAAATACTGTCCCGCTCTGCTGAGCACGCCAAGCTTTTTAGAGGCCAATTTGGCCTTCTCTTCCAAGTGACCACGAAACTGCACGTCACTCGACATGTCGACTTTACAAAAATATATTTAAATTATGTTGGTCCCCGGTTAAAGTTATGGTTAGAGGAAAATGTTATTATGACGCGCAGGGCGAGGATTCCCTCCGATACTGGCTGAGGCAACAAGGGGGAGTGCCTTGAAATTGAGGAGATACGACAAAGGGGTTCTTTTTAGCGGTTAACGTTTTTTTTTGGGGGCACTTGTTCAGCAAAGACTCGACTTCAGACACAAGTTTGTCCCGGCACTCGGAGACGTTTTCCCGAGAAATATTGGCTCGGCCGGTGTAAAAAGCATCACCAGTGCTGTCATGTGCATAGCAATGAATGTTACGGGTTTGCAACATATCATTGATATGCAGAAGAAACAGCGTTGGCGATAGTGCGCAGCATTGTAGAACACCAGCATTAATAGGCTTGCAATCGGAGCTTGCACCGTCTACAACGACCTTGATGCTCCGATCTGCAAGAAAGCTGGTGATCCAATCGCACAATTTCTCGGGAACCCCATAGGAAGGGAGCTTCGAAAGAAGCGCTTTGTGCCAAACCCGATCGAAGGCCTTCGCAATGTCCAAACTAACAGCCAATGCCTCCCCCTTGGAGCTCTTCTGCCTCCGCCCATCTGTGAGTTAGGTAGACCAGAAGATCATCAGCTGACCGACCACGGCGAAAACCGTGTTGGCGGTCACTAATCAGCTGGTGATCTCAAGGTACTCATGAGCTGGCAGTTTCCAATGGACTCCATTGTTTTGGTGAACACGGAGGTGATGCCGATAGGCCGGTAGTTGGACGGGTCTGAGCGGTCGTCTTTTTTAGGGATTGGGTGGACGAAAGCCGTCTTCCATTATTTTGGGACTACGCCGGTGCCAACTCTCGAGCACACGTCCTCAGCACAATTGGGGGATTCCGTCAGGTCCACTCGACTTGGGGATGTCCAGGAAGAGGAGTGCTTTGCGAACCAAGCGCTGTGTGAACTGCACTTCCGGCATGGAGCACTCACACCGCGGGTTGATCGTACTCCCCCCATCATCGATCGTTGGCGTACTCCCCCCGTCATCGAGAGTCGAGTTGGACGCAAAGAAAGAGCTTAGAAGATCGGCTTTCTCCTTTGCGGTATGGGCCAGTGAGTCGTCCTCCCTGTGCAGAGATGGAAGAGATGGCTGACAGAAATTTCTCTGGACAGCCTTGGCGAGAGACCAGAATGCACGGGTTCCAGAATGCGCAGGTTTATAGGTAGATAGTTGAATTGCTGTGGCTACTTACAATCTGATAGTTTGTTGACAATATCAATGACCATATAAAAAATTTATTGCATACCCCATAATAAATTATATCTAGTAAACTAAAAGTTTGATATTCGTATATTTCCTAGTCTCTACATAGTAAAAAAACATAGTCGCTTCCCGCCGTCTGTACGCTTAGATATTTTAAACTACGCAATTGATTTTGATCCGGTTTTTATCAATAGACAGAATGATTCAAGAGGAAGATTTATATACATGCATATGTTGTCGAGATCCAAAAATCACCCGTGCGAAGCCGGGGCGACGCTAGTTTATATAATAAAACAAATATCAGTACATATCATTATACGTATATTCTATAAGTAGGTATAATAAATGCGCTTACAACAAAACCGACGACATAGATAGACTATGTATCACACAGATCCTTCATCTGTGTGATACAAAGAATACTATAATACACAATAGAATGGCTGTTAAACTTATTTTGTACGAGATTCCGCGTCTCCAGGAGCACACATACAAGCAATTACGTCGTATTATCTACTTACGTATTATTACTTACTACTACAAACCTTCGTTTTGTTTTTTTTGATTAATGTTCAAAATCATCATTAAAAAATCGTTTAAATTTTAATACATATTTTATATGTAAACAGCGTGCAATTTGGTATTTCCCAAATAATTTGAAAACGATTGTTACTTCAAACACATCTCGTGTTGAAATTTATACGTGTTAACGTCAATACGTGTTAGTGACATTTTAGTGGCTACGCGGGCTACGCGGGCTCCGCCCACTCTCCCGTTCTATTATGTATGTATTATAGTATTCTATGGTGTGATATATGACAGATTTTCGCCATTGATTGATTAAGTATTGCTTTTATTATTCACTTTCCCTGTTTTTATCTATTTGTACTTTTTGTCTAATAATTAATCACATTTAATACTCTCTTTCAAACGTGGACGTAAAAACTATAATAAATTTTAGTGGATATATTTTTCTACTGTGACTGGAAACACGTGAATTTATTTTCTTAATATTTCTAAAACTTTCTTTCTCTTATTCATATTCTCATTACTCTTAATAACTATGATATGTTCATAAATACCTGTATATAAACAATCAAATAGATCTCAACGAAATTTAAGTTACCAATTCCGAAAAATGTCAAAACAAGAATTATCTTAAGTCGCAAATGGACGGTGTATCTAAGCTCAAATTAAAATCAATTAAAACGTTTATTATAAAAAAGTTAAAACATTTTGCCCCGAAATTCCTTTTAGGTACATGTTTATCAACAATAATCATATTTCTTTCTATCACATTTTCAATTGACCAAGCATTTGCTAACATTTAATTCCCAATGACTTCAGCTCTATGATGCAAATTGACATCGTTCAACGTTATAATTTTTTCATCGGAGTAACATATTGAAAAACAAAACTATAACATATTTAAAATAACTATCTTAGACTAATTTACATAATAATAAAAAAATAAATTCAGTACAACTTTAACCTGTTACGCCAGGAGAAGCAAACATCTCGCTTGGGAGATGCATACATATATGCATCACATTTAATTAATGTTGTACAATATTTGTTTAATATATATATATATATATATATATATATATATATATATATATAACATTTATTTATTGTATATTAACATTGATACAATATGTATTTCTAATATAAATACATATACGAATATATTGAGCAGAACTTCTTGCTCGTCTTAGATTTAAAATTATGCTAGCAAGCCCGAGATTCATCCACACCGGCTCTAATGTTTTGCGCAATTTTTATTATGTGCTTAAAGAATAAATGAGGAAATCTGTATGTCTCAGGAATTTTTTGAAAAATATTTTGACGGCTGTGAAATTTGTCGTGAACAACTCGAAATTATAAAAGCTGATTTCCAATCGTAGAAACAATGGCAAATTCCTTTTTAATTATTTTTTTAACTTTATATGAGACTGTAAATAGGCTCAAAATGATAGATATATTTCATTTACTTGCCAGATCAATATACAAGTTGAATTTCAACTTTATTATAGGACAAATCTAATTCACATGATAAAGCGTCATTAAAATTAAATTGATATCAGAGTCATCTTCCGACGAATAGTCTAAATATAACTCCGATTTAACACATAATAACACAAAAGTGAACTGAGAACTGTATTTAAAAGCTTACATAAAACCGTTATAGCCTGTTTGTAAAGTATATAACTAAATGTAAGATACATTTCATGCGTGATACATTCTCAGATAGTGTTAAGTACTCTATAGACCATATATATAATCACCGGAACTCAGATTAAGTAAAATAACAAGTACATTAATATTTTTCATTATTTCATAAAAGTTTATCATTTAATACAGTTCCGCATTACGTAGCTACGTTTCATGCCATTATCAACTACTTATAAAAGTAACACATCCATAATATTCATCAAGCTCCAGCACCATCACCAGATCTCACCTAGTATGATATACGAATATATCTTCATTCTTTAAATTTTATTGTATCTTTCATTCTCTTTTAAATATTAAATTCGCGATTCGGTGTCTTTTGAACAATTCTCTTCAACATCATTACCATTTCTTGGGACTTCAATACTCACAATATATTTCAGTGTGTCCGTTTGTCATTTCATTGCAATTTCCGCTTTTATTTTAGGGGATATCCTAAATGGCGGCTGTATAGGAGGTGGTATGTGTACCACATTTTGGTTACATTGTAATTGTAGCTCCATGATGTCTCGATGTAGTGACATAATCAAACGGATGATTTTTGTAAAGTACTCCACTTTCTGTAAAAACAAAAGGTTTTCATAAGATATAAATATGACAGATACTGTAAATTTACTACCAATAAAATAAACCTGATATTGTGATTGAAATTGTTGAAATAATTTATTTTTTCTACGAAATAAAATTACAAAATCATTTATCATTAGCTGACATCCTATGAAATTTTTAGAAAGAAGGTAATAAAGCGAATTGAACTGAAAAAAGTTTTTCTCAAAGTTATTTTGTCGACTTTATAATAAAATGGCCACAATTGAAATTAATTTCAATTAAAGACCCTATATATGTTGGTTGATTAATTTAAACATCATAAATGTGCTTTATAATTTTGATATTTTATTAAAAAAGGATCGATAGAAATAATCTACAAAATAACTTCAATTATCAGTGTTAGTAAATGAAAGATTTTTATTAGGATAACAAAACTACTAATTTCAAATCAAAATGATCTATAATTATGTGATGTGAATGCATGCAAAACAAAATATTGTACACTAAAGGGATAATTTATATAGAAACTACTTCCACAACAAAATAAGTCAAGAGCTGTACTAATATAATTCTTAGAGCGGTAAAACGAAGTCCCTTTATTGTACAAAAATAATTAAAAATGTTAATAAAATCGCATGCTCAATACTTCAACAGATTTATACTGCTCTAAGCATTTATGAAGAGAAAGCTTTAATAAATAAATTGACTTACTTTTGGACTTTTCCCCTCAGTGTACAATATCAAAACATCTAACAAAAACATTCTCTTATGACTGAAGATAGCGACGTGAACATTGTTGTTTTTTATTTGAAGGGTTTTATATTTCGTCAACTTTTTGAAATTATTTTTAATGTTATAACGTTATGAAAATAATTCACTCACGATTGGTAATTTATAGTAAGTTTTAATATATAAATTATCAGTATACGTAGTGTTTTCTAACACTATAAAATATAATTCTTTCACGGATTTTTCATTATTAAATGAATTAAAAGGGTCTTAATGTTGATACAAAATTGATACAAAATTAAAATTCAATATTAAACATTATGAAATATTTTTTATTGAATTATTAAAATAAAAAACAAGTTTAAAAAAATTAACTTTCGTAATTGAATCACTATTTTCAAAGCCTTGCTAAATATAAATGTTTTATGACAATAATTTTTCCTTTACCTTTGATTTCAAGAAAAATAGAGTAATTTAAGAAATGGTTTTTGATATAAAAATCTGACGATAAATAAAACTGACCTGACTGCTATGCATACTGTGACCGTTTGCTTTTTCACCACCCACAACAGTACTGCAAGGCAAAGGTTTCGCTACTCCAATCGTCACTGTTCCTGCAAAACATAAGTAAATATTAAACCATATTAGATACATACAACCTTTTATCTTCAGTCTTGTATCAGCGCACTACTGAACTACTAGAGAATGCCTGTATTAATAGGCATCAGAATAGTCTTTAGTATACTAATCTTTGTATTTCAGTCTTATGGTTCGGCAAAAGCCAATGTGGTATTATTCATTAGTAAAGATCATGAATGAGCCGTGGTAGCTTAGATGGTTAACTCTCGCTGTAAATATAACAGTCAGCGAAGGCCCGGGCTGGGTTCGATCCCCGCCGGCACCAATGAAATTGTTAATTGCAATTTTAATTGGATTCTAATATACCACGTGCTCGGCGGTGAAGGAAAATTCCGCGAGAACACCTGCATGTTTGAGGAATAAGAAAAAAATATTTCGAAGACATGTGAAGTTCGCCAACACGCATTAGGGCAGCGTGGCGGACACTTCCTTGCCCTAAAACCCTCTCAGAAATAAGGGGAGGCCTGTGCCCAGTAGTGGGACGTATATAGGCTGTATCTTTACTTTTTATTGACTTTTTAAAGATCATGTGTATTTTAATTTTGTTTTTGATTGGCACAAAACTGTATAGCCCAACAGCCTCACAAATAATTTGTGCATGATATTACATGAAAAAAATCTTACCGTAGCAACTTGAAATTACTTGCAAAATGTCAAAAAATTAAAAAAGTCTGAAAAGCAGTGAGAGTATTTTTAAGATCAAATTGATATTTTATGCCTGAAAACCACGATTTGATATGATGAGTAGCTAAGCACGAATGTTACTAAATATTTACAAAGTCGATTTTACTTTAACTTTTAAGTAAAAGTAAAAGTCGACATTACTTTTTGTTAAAAGCAATTTTTTTACCCTTTTGTGTAGACTAAGAAATATCACAATCCTAAAGTTGCCTAAATAGTCACATCAAAAGAAATCTGTTCACAACATTGAAACTTTTATAATTTATTAGTCCGTAAAAATCTACTGCTGACAATCACCATATCACCATCTCCCGTATTTCGAAGTTCCGCACGTTTGACGCTAATTTTCGTCATCGGCCTGCGTTTTTTATATTTGCTATGTACAAAATATATAAATGGCTATCTACCGAAATTATAATGATGGATTATTTCTTGCTGGGACCATACGGTCCTCTTAACATTATAAATGAATGTTTTTGAAAGACAAAAACAACACTACCAGAATTTAAAGCCTTTTTTTTCACTAATGACGACGTTACGCTATCTTAAGTGTCGTGTATTATAACATTAAAAAATAGTATTGGCCATGAAATACTTTTATCTTCGCGCATTCATAATGTTTACAAAAGTGTCGGCCTTAATTCCGTTTACACTCTAGTGTGTCTGTTTGGATTGTTTTTGATAAGATAGCGGGTACTATTTTTATTTGAAATTAAATGCGAAATTAAACTATCGTCAAGCACTATATTGAATAAAAAATAGTGTTGTCGCTGCTATAAAAATTATGCGGTTGCTAAAAGACTGGTTTAGTCTATTCCACAGTAGGTACTCGTAACGCCTGAATGTAACCATCAATTATGGAATAACCAAAAATTTTAAATCAATCCTATAATTATATCCTATATACAGTATAGTAACTTTTTCAGCTCGTACATAAGAAAATCTTCGGCCTTCTTCCATAATTTCTATTTTATTGATATCTTAGCAGGTCTGACAAATCAAAAAAGTCAAAGAAATCCCATAACGCCCGGCGAAAATAAACAGAGCTCAGAATTTAGTCCTGAAGTGACCCCTCCAATAGTCCTTTGTGGACTCACTCCTAATTCCCGTTGATAGATTGTGGATAGAGAGGCGCTTGCTACTTATTTCAATACCTGCAATTAGTTATGTAAGCATGTAACTTTCCTATTTACTTATATTATTTATCTTAACTGCGGGCTTAACCAATTTTCTACAGTCGTAAACGTTAATAGGAAACTAAAAATGAATGAAAATGACATATCTCAACCTCAAGACTTCACGTATATGTCATTTCCATATTTTTACTCATTTCTAAACTTGGCTAAGTTTGTTGCAATATTTTAAGTGATACGTAATAAAATAAGTAAACGTTTGACACTAAGAATTAAGTTATAGTTTAAAGTAGGTCATCATCATCATCATCATAATTATAGTACTTCACAAGTATACTGTTGATAATAGGGCTCCTATAAGAAATGCAACAAAGCACGATCCTGAGCCACCAATATCCATCGACTTTCTGCATGTCTTACCAGGCCGTCACGATCGTGTGTAATATCCATGTCACATTTATGCTGGTAGTTGTTGGGACCACTGTTCTCACCTTTTGGCGCGCTCTTAATGGCTGCGACGGCCTGTGCGAGCGGCGCGCGTGCGACGTCCTGCCCGTTGACGGAGACGAGGCGGTCGCCGGGCGCCAGGCGGCCGTCCGCCGCCGCCGCGCCGCCCGCCACCACCGACCGCACCACGATCACAGAACTGCCCGGCTCGCTCGGGTCCTGAGCGGAACACGCACCGGTTTTTTTTACTATTTTAAGCCAACGCATAACTACAATCCCACCAGATGGTAAGTGGTGGTGTAACCTAAGATGGTGAAGGCACTGACTTAACAAAAGCCTTTTTACTCCTGTCTTGAAGACAACCATATTGTAATTGGATGGAAAGGCAGATATTTGCTACATATTTCGCTCTACGTACTACTAATACTTCGTCTTCGTCGGAATACTCATATACTTTCTACGCTCTATTGCGTCTTATTTAATGTGTCAAGTCCTCCCTATCTAAAAGAACGTTTTAGAGGAGACGGGCGAAAATTCATAGAAAGCTGAGCCTGATGTTACAGCAACGATTACTGTATTATTTTATTTATATATCAATACCATTTTCAAAAAAAAAACTAAAATGTTTACGAGTGCTTCATGGTAGAAAAAAAATATAGATTGTTATTTTGCTTATGCTATGCATACAATGTTATTCTCACACCAAGCTTTCACATTACACTTTAATAAAATAATTATTAGACGTTATTGTAAACTAGACTTCACCATAATTTTATGTATTGTAGGACATTCACAAATAGAAGATTTAGACGCCGCCGTCCAATTAAATTCTAGAAGTTTGAAATAATTATAAAAAAGCAGAAGGAGGATGAATTAAGAACATTTTCTCTTCTCCACCGTCCACTTCATCATAAACAAATAAAATATCGTCTAAAAACGGTGCAGGCGGTATTAAATTCTCTTGACGCCTTGCCAAGAACTCATAACTTGCTTGCTACTGTGGCTTTGCACTTAATAAACCACCCGAAGCTGAGGTTTAAACATATCTCAATCCCCAATAACTGAAAGCGGTCGGTGTATTCCAGTGACACATTTCTAAGAAGAAAAGTAGGAGCCAATGTGAGCTGGCTCCTTTTCATAGAAAAAAAGACACGCTTGTGTTTTGGAGACATTGCACATTACAGGCATTCGGATAATGCCTGTAATGTGAGGTTCACACGCTCAGCCATACCTTTTCTTTTGGATTGTATTTAATCTTGACTGGTCCGAGTACTTGGTTGGTATCTCTCCACAACTGTGCTCTAGTCTGCATACCAATAGATACCGGGTATAAGAAGATCATAATAATGAAGAGAGAAGAGAGTTGCGTAGAGAACCGTTGTTAGTCACCATAGGATCGGATGAGGAACCATCGATGACGACTCGCAGAAACCGTTCACTCAAAAGTACTTTACCCATTCAGTCAAACACGCCAGGGGTAAGTCGTAAGCCGAAAACTCAAAATGCTAGCGTGCCAAATCCTGTCATAGGCCCTCGACATGTCGTGAGAAACAGCAAGTGCTTCTCCACTGATCTCGAGTACCTCACCACAAATGTGTGTAGCATACGCTAGAAGATCCCCAGCTCCTCGTTTAGCACTACCCGCGGGACACGTGTAGGGTGTCAGTATTCAAGTGTTTCCTACGGACGCGAGCAGCCTCACTGCCTAAAAGATTTTGGGTAATCGTTATTGCAGCCTATTAAAGTCCACTGCTGAAAATAGGCCTCCCCCATAGATTGCTTTATAGGAGAGAAATTTACCATAGTTGCCACGCTTGGCAAGCGGGTTGGAAACCGCGGTTTTTTATTTTTAGTCATTATAAGGAATACGCTGCAGCCCAAATCCTGATTTGGTTCCCTCCGTCGCCTCTTACGATAGCCACGAGATGATATGGATTCTGAATATTCTTACACCGCCACTACACCGTAAACAGACATCATCGTTAATAAATTACGAAGCTTTTAGTAGTCACACAAAATATAAAGCCATTATACTATTTTCTCATACAATAGCTGTGCAAAAAAAAAAACAAATCATACGGATAAAAGTATTTCGATTTACTATAGTTTCAAATGCCCATATAAATCATATTTTGTTATAATTATATTCGAATAATTTTGTCACCTCAGATCAATAAAGGAAGATAGATGAAGTACACCTAAAGTGATGCAGAAAACATGTTTCAACTTCTTGACCGCATTACGTTCATGCACACATACATATTTCTTTCTACACTGCTGTACGCACACATATGCACCTAAACCATGTTATTGGTTGTAAAAGATTTTTGTTGCATATGTGTACGAAAGTACGTGTTCTTACAATCAGTTAAGCATGGTTTTTGCGTCGTTTTTTCCCTTGTTGGTCTGAGTTCGTCACCAAATTAATTCGTATTTAATAAGTCAAAATCCGAGGACTAGTTAAGAAACTACGAGCGGACATAGAAATGAATATACATACATTCATTTAAGCCAAACATATTATCTTCCTTTTGAGATCCTACTAAGTCGCTTATATCAAAATTATAAGCTAACCTATAAAATATAACTGTATAACTATATTCAGTACTGTGCTTACCAGGTAGTCTAGAATTGAAAAACCGAGGCCTCTTTCCTCCTTCTGCAGCTGGATATATTCTATGTTGTCGCTCCACATCGCAAGGCCACTTAAAGGTTCTAATGATCTAGATCGATTTCGTTCTAAGTCATCCGAACAGAATTCTGTAACAAAAATACGTTCGTATTTGTATAGATAAATGAAGTAAGTTTGGTTTTTCAGGCATTATATTGTGACTAATTTCCTTTTCATTGTGAAAGAATTCATTTTCTCTCTAGAAACCAAATAGACACAACCCTCTTATTCACCCGCCAAACATAATATTGCAGAAAAATAGTAATAATATTTTAGATTTCAGGGGTTTTCTCCAAAGTATATTACAAAGGTTAGTAGTACAGAACAGTCAAGTAGTAATTTTACCATCTCGTACTAACAAAACAACAACAAAAAATTGGTTGACCCTGCAGGCTATCCCTGGAACTTTCCGCTAATTTTAAATTCAAAGCGCTCCAAATTTCACCAAATTTTGTTGCGAAATCTGGAAGTTATGTTAAAAAGGTTTTTTTTAATTCTCCTAAATTTCTCCTTCGATATCTCACGAACGAATGAACCGATTTTCATTTTATAAACGGCATTCGACGTTATTTTTTGAGGTTAAGATCTGATTCGTTTTTGAAATCAATCAGTAAAACTGTTTAAAAATTATTACAAAAAAAAAACAGTTTTCAAAATTATTATTTTTGAGATTTCTCAAAATCCAATCGTCAGAATGAATTCATATTATCACCAAATCTATTCCACATTGAGATCTTTAGAACGCCGCAAACCGCATCTCAGTTGATCAAGACGTTCAAACACACACACAAAAACACACCCACACACACACACACACACACACACACACACACACACACACACACACACAGACACACACACACATACACACACACACAGACACACACACACACACACACACACACACACACACACACACACACACAACACACACACACACACACACACACACACACACACACACACACACACACACACACACACCAACCCACATACACATACATACATACATACATCAGTACGGACGTCCACGTGAAATTAGTCAGAATAGCTTCTTAAGATCTTAAAACGTCGAGGTCTGAAGAAAACTCGATTTTCGAAAATCGGGGTGAAACCAATAACCTTATTAAACTGCCTTATTTTTGAACATTTTCAATTTTCTTAGCGGGAAGTTAAAAAACGACCAAGCCTTGTAGTAGCCGCATGTGATGTGTAACACCTGACATTTTACTTTAATAATAAGCAACGTTAACACTATATCCTGTAAAGAGCTATTAGTTTTTAAAATCATAATTAATGTTTGCGACGGCCTAACAACGCTAAGAAACAAAGTGATAAAGAATATTGTTTTTTGTATTAATAGTGAAATTACCGACTGGGTGAAAACGTGTATTGATATAGTTGTGTAGCATGTTTATAACTCTTAGTATATTTGTATAGAATGTCGTTTTGATAACAAGTGATGTAAACAACTTTTATTGTATTAAGAAAAATCGACCAATCGCAGCGCGTCTTATCGTAGAACTCTCTAGAAGTTTTTAATTAACTGCGTAATAGTTCATACTAAAAATAATGAAAATAATTTTATGTTCTAAAAGAGTTGTAAATATGACATTGAATTAGCATATGGCTTATAAATTAAGAAAGTGTAGGAATATTTTGTATAATTAAACACATTTGGTAGTTATATAAAAATCAAAGAATTAATGTACCCAAATATTATGAAAATTTGGGACATTTCATTTAATAACTTTTGACATGTTAATGTTTTGGGTAACCTTTATATACTATACTAATAAAGTACCAGACTACCGATTTGATGATGTATAGCATGTTAGTGTAGCAATTAGTTTTGTATAGAAAATATTGTAATTTATGCCATTTGCATAGTGAAAATGTTATGAAAGAGGCAAAACGGAAAATGACAAGCGGCTTACTGTAAGGTATAGCCAAAGTTTACCTTAGGGGCTCGGGACCCAGTAGTAGTAGTGGTGTGAAGAACTACCAGTGACAAGTAGTAGTATCCGGTAGTAGCTGAAGTGACTAGTAGCAGTATATAGTGAATAGTGAAAGTGTTAGCTAGCCGAAAAAGGTCGTAACTGACATTCGCAGTTACATATAGTGAAAGTGTTAGCTAGCCAAAAAAGGTCGTAACTGATATTCGCAGTTACATATAGTGAAAGTGGTAACTGATATCCGCAGTTACACAAGTGATAAAATCAGCTAGTTTAGTTGATAATAGCTGCTAGTCAGTAGTGTTAGAAAACCAGCTACTACCAATAGATATTTGATACCACCGTACAATTTAAAGAAATCTTTTGAAATATACAGTGACCAACCAATAGTGAACAACCGTAGTTCAACAACCGTGGTCAATAAACAATAGTTATAAAATTTCGCGACTAATCAATCAGTCGAACCGCTGGCCACTACCTTGCTATTTGTATTTGTAAATCGTGCATTTTGATTTGAACCTCAGTCTACAATATCTCAGCGGCACCCACAAAGACGACAGTGAAAGTACCCACCGGAACCTATAGGTGTAGGACGTGAGCGACTCGCGAAGTATTTCGACAACATTTTCTCCGAAGAGTTTCGCCCGTCCGGTACAATTAACATAAATTAATCTCAAAATTTATAAAAGATAAATACTGAAATATTTATTCGAATAGATATTCATTATGACTCACTTGAATTTTTTTAACTATGATCTGCATTTTTTTCAGACATTTATTATCAACAGTAAATACATTTATGTAATACATGTTAAAAATACATTTATTTTACATAATGGCATACTTTACTACCACCGCGCACGCACATTGGTCAAATCAAATAGCACGCACTTCCTGGCTTCCTTTTACACACTTCCCTCCTTTTTCACGAAATCACTCCTATAGATTGCGAGAAAGCGAGAGGAAACATGTTACATATCAATCTAAAACTGGCATTTATTACTATGTTCAAAATAGTAAAAAAACTGAACAACATCCACTGCTATGTTTTTATTATTATAAAAGGGTCAATGCGCTTTAGTCTTCTTCACTTGTTGATTCATAAGTCGAGTGCAGGTGGATATGCCAAAGAAATCACTTATTATCATTTAGATTGTTAGCTCGTTTATCACATTAGCGTTATTTTAAAACCCTTAGAGAGATGTTATGGCATAACTCTTCTTCTATCTTTTGTTTAAATGCGTTTGACAAAATCTACTTATAATATTCATGAAAGTTTGTATCTATTGTATTTTATAAATGTGTGTAGAAAGTATTCGAAATGAGGCCAGTAGTTTATGTATGCGCTATTCTTTATAAAGATCAGAGTATTAAACACGTTATAGTTTATTCAATGTCCAGAATTTTTGGTCCCTCGAGTCGGAGTTGAACTATTGGAATTTATTTATACATGTCAAACATTTGACGATAAAGGACGGTAGTTCTTCTTTTATACATTATAACGCTAATACATTGCCTAATTAATACATTCGAAGTAAAACTCGGAAATATAAGTGCAATGCATTCTGCTAATAAACGTGACTCTGTCTACCTTCGACAAAATAAGAAAACATACTACCGAAATTCTAAAAATTTGCTACAGGCATAACTATCAGTGCCAAGCATATTTATTAATGGTGTAATTTTGTTAAAGCCTGTATCCAGAGCCGGATGAACCTAAAGTCAAATTAAACAACCGTCTTTAGGTCTTGCATCACTAAAAAGCTCCGCCGTTTTAGAATAATCGAACCTTAAAAATATGTATAAACCGATTTGAAAGAACTAAAAGAAATGTAATGATTACATTTTTTTTAGGTCGGTTATCGTCGCTATATATTTCCTACATGTCGTACAGATATCTTCACAAATAGAAGAGTTTGATAGTTTTTTCATGGGCCCAATCATCAGATCATAACTTAACTTGTGTGAGCTCACATAGGAGGTACTATCGCTAGAATTGTCGCAAAAAAAAAACAAGAAAAAGTATTTCGACGAATTGAGAGCCTCCTTCTTTTTTGAAGTCAGTTGAAAAAGGGAGAGGGGTTCAATACACGTCATTCGCTTAATACTGCCTAGCCTATATCTCACACTGGATTGTAAAAAAAATTGCTTTACCGTCATGATCATGTCCAGCAGACATAACAGTCGTAGCACTACACAGCGAGGCAACCGAGCTTTCGGACTTGGCTTTGATGAGACGCTGCGGCGGTGTGAGGAGGTCTTGTAAGCTTCCTCCTACTATTGCACTCTGTAAACAAACATATTTTAATATTTACGAATACAAGTACTAAATTTTAATTCACGTAATTTACCTAATAACACAATCATCATCATCATCATCATCTTTATCATTATCATTTCAGCCCGTTTAAAGTTCACTGCTGAGCATATGCCTTCTGAAAATTATAGGGTATGGTTCAAAGTTCAAGTTCAAAACCCAAATTGTTGCCACAAATTGAAGCGACACTAGCATAATGGCAGGGTGCGGACCGCGAACTCGAAAGGTCGCGTGTTCAAATCCGCCATTCGACTACTGTCGTGAACCACTCCTAACACAAGCATTTTAAGTTTTTTGAAAAAAATAAAGAAATCTTTATTGAAATTAAAATTGTTAGAGCATCTGCTAGTAATCATATAACATCTATACGAATTGACCGATTTATGTTAAATAACACAATGGCTGTATTTAGCAGAAAAAAGCGCTAGGAAGCGCTTACTATCGCTGAAAAACAAACTTTACAGTTTTTGGCCAGGACACATTTTATACCTTCAGTAGCACTGACACAATCCGCCATTTTGCTTATTTGTTTTGTTTGTTTTGAAGTAGAGTTTATAAGTTGTTTTGTGCAATTAGTTTCAAGTAATATTAAAATAAATAATGTCAGTTCAAATATATTATTCATGATTGGCAAGTTTTTAATATTATGAATACTTTTTTTTATAGAAAAGAGGGCAAACGAGCATGCGGCTCACCTGATGTTAAGTGACTACCGCCGCCCATGATCAACCACAACACCAGAGAAATTGCAGGTGCGTTGCCGGCCCTTTAGAAAGGAGTACGCTCTTTTCTTGAAGGTCCCCAGGTCGTATCGGTCCGGAAAAATCGCTGGTGGTAAACTATTCCACAGAGAGGTTGTACGCGGAAAAAAACTCCTCTTGAAACGTACAGTGGTGGACCGCCAAGCATCCAGATGGTGTGGATGGTATCGGGACGTTTGCCGCGTAGTGCGTTTACGAAATTTGATGGCTGGGATTTATCCGAACAATTACTCAGAACACTCTCCATGGTATATGCGAAAGAAAATGCAAAGAGATGCAACATCTCTTCGCAGTGCCAGTGAATCGAGCCGATCGGAAAGCACTCGGTCGTCGACGATTCGAGCCGCTCTGCGCTGGATGCGGTCAAGTGGAAGGAGCTGGTACTGGGGAGCCCCAGCCCAGGGATGGGAACAGTATTCCATGTGCGGCCGAACCTGCGCCTTATAAAGTTGCAGGCGGTGTGCCGGCATGAAATACTGTCCCGCTCTGCTGAGAACGCCAAACTTTTTAGTGGCCAAATTGGCCTTCTCTTCCAAGTGACCACGAAACTGCACGTCACTCGATATGTCGACTTTACAAAAATATATTTAAATTATCTTGGTTCCCCGGTTAAAGCTTATTTAGCGTCCTAGAGGAAAATAGTTATTTACCATTTGACAGCGCTTACCGCTTAGGGATGGCCATTTTGCTTACAAGCGCTTCCTAGCGCTCTTTTCTGCTAAACACAGCCAATGTTTTAGTCGAAACGGAGGAGTAGAGAGGGCTATGCTAAGATCCGATAGATGGCGCTCTAGTTAAGTTACTAACAAATTCTATACTGTGTTAGCAGTGATCTATAAATTTCTAATTTAAAGCTTTTTTAGGTAATTCGACGATAACACAAAACAATGAATCAGTTTTAGTTCTCAAATTATGGTATCAATTTTAAAACTGATGTTAGATATCGAAGTTCTTAAAAACTTTAAATTACCTTGAACGAAATAAAATTTTGTGACCTTGACTTTAAATACAGAAAAAGTGAAAGTAGATGTATATCAAACATAGGACGTTCGGATAAAAATGACTAAACAGGAACAAATGTAAAGAGTTATACTTCGGAGAAGTGTGACAGAGAAGGAATAAGATAGTTTTGCCAAAAATCGGCAAATATTATCGAGGTTCAGCTATAGACCAGTCATTATGAGAAATCTTATAATGGTAGAGATGCACTGTCAGCATGTCTTAGGAAGTGGAAGATCACAAAATTATTAAAAGAAGAAAATTATTAAATAAAATGCATCATAAAATTATAGATAACAAAAGAAAAAAACAAATTTTACGGAATTTTACAGATTTTATATTTGACTTATTTTAACTTATTTTTATACCCAACCATAGGGGTAGAAAATAAATAACTTCAGCTTTTGAATATTAATTTTATGATACAATCTCCGCAGATTGAGCTCACAGTATCTTGAAGTCTTGCATTGGTAAGCTTTGGTTTGGATTGAATTTTATCATAGGACGTCAAACACCTCATGCCCCGGATGACAATCCGCGCTGGCAAAATGCATCCGAAAAATCGGAAATCATTAAATAAATATAAGTAAAATTAAACGCAGTTTATTTTGTATTCAATGTATATTAAATAGTTAATACTTACCTTTGCGAAATTCTCTTCATTGCTATTTTGGTTCTCTTCCTGTCTCTTTCTCACACACACTAATAGCACAGGTGACGTAACAGCTCTTAACCTAGTCACTACTTCCACGTGATGTGACCCCAGTACTCTCCAACCGTTTACCTGGAAAATGGAGAAAAGTCTTTAAAATATTAAACAATTTTGACCTTGTTTTAAGCCTTTATGGTCAAAGTTTTAGATGCGGCAGGTTATTTCAGTGGTGTTTAGAAGCACAGTTTTTGAATTGTGAGGACCAGATGGAATGCTCGTAGTAAAAAGGGTCTCCGGATTTCTACACTCACCATACGCAACACAGCAGCTATTTCTGCTATTTTGCGCTGGTATTCTGTGAGAGCGTGGTCCTGTCCGGTCGAGCCGACACATTCGTGCTACAACTATAATATAGCTGTAGCGCGGCACCACGTAAGAAAACGTAGTACCTACGTTGGTCAGTGGTAAAAAGTAATAGTTTACGTACGTCGCAATATTGGGCTCATGCATCCTATTATTTTTAAAATATTTTTGGCACCGGCATGGATCAAATCTATTTGTTTCATCATTACAGCCCATCAAAAATCTACTGGTGAATAAATAGGCCTCCCTCATAGGTTGCCCCACTTTTGCCATAGTTGCCACATTTAGCAAACGGGCTGGCAGCCGCAGTTTTTTGTACTATTAAACGTTATTAGTAATATACTGCTGCCCATTTCTTACTTCAGGTCTTCGCCTCCTACAACACCCACGGGATGATATGGGGTTTAATTCCGTACTACAAATTAAAGCTATCTGATTTCCCGAACATTTACCGCGTGGTTTGTCCACATTTGACGGTTTTTACTTGTGAAATTTATGTAAGTAAACGCATCTACATACAAATGGCCAGTTAGAAAAACGTACGTTATATTTTCTTAAACTTAAATTGAGTAGAATATAGTTATCGATTGGTAAACAAATTTGTATAGGGGTGACAAACGAGCACGCAGTCCACCTGATGATAAGTGGATGCTGTGGCCCCATAGACATCATGTATCCTCAAATCAAAATGCAGATGCGTTATTGTGAAGATGGAATGACTTCATTCCGGTAAAAAGAGTCTCCGGTTCTCTATACTCAACATACGAGACACAGTAGCATATAGCTGCTATAATGGTAAAAAGAGTCTCCGGTTCTCTATACTCAACATACGAGACACAGTAGCATATAGCTGCTATAATGATAAAAAGGGTCTCCGGTTCTCTATACTCAATATACGAGACACAGTAGCATATAGCTGCTATAATGGTAAAAAGAGTCTCCGGTTCTCTATACTCAATATACGAGACACAGTAGCATATAGCTGCTATAATGGTAAAAAGAGTCTCCGGTTCTCTATACTAAACATACGAGACACCGTAGCATATAGCTGCTATAATGGTAAAAAGAGTCTCCGGTTCTCTATACTCAATATACGAGACACAGTAGCATATAGCTGCTATAATGGTAAAAAGAGTCTCTGGTTCTCTATACTCAATATACGAGACACAGTAGCATATAGCTGCTATAATGGTAAAAAGAGTCTCCGGTTCTCTATACTCAACATACGAGACACAGTAGCATATAGCTGCTATAATGGTAAAAAGGGTCTCCGGTTCTCTATACTCAATATACGAGACACAGTAGCATATAGCTGCTATAATGGTAAAAAGGGTCTCCGGTTCTCTATACTCAATATACGAAACACAGTAGCATATAGCTGCTATAATGGTAAAAAGAGTCTCCGGTTCTCTATACTCAGTATACGAGACAAAGTAGCATATAGCTGCTATAATGGTAAAAAGAGTCTCCGGTTCTCTATACTAAACATACGAGACACAGTAGCATATAGCTGCTATAATGGTAAAAAGGGTCTCCGGTTCTCTATACTCAATATACGAGACACAGTAGCATATAGCTGCTATAATGGTAAAAAGAGTCTCCGGTTCTCTATACTAAACATACGAGACACCGTAGCATATAGCTGCTATAATGGTAAAAAGAGTCTCCGGTTCTCTATACTCAACATACGAGACACAGTAGCATATAGCTGCTATTTTATGCTGATGTTCTATGAGGGCATGGTCCTTCCCCGGTCGAGGTGACCCATTGATGCTTCAACTGTAATATAGCTGTAGCATGGTTCTCGCACGTAGAAATGTACGCTAGCATAAAGAAAATCTGCTTCCTAATTTAATGATGTCTAAACACCGCTGCATCGTTCTTATGTTTCCGAACTTAGCTGAATAAAAGTTAGTTCTCGACTACCGCGTGAGTCTAGTAGTCATTAGCGTGAATGCTGATTAGTGGGGGTTCGAATCCGAAGCTAGGCCAAAAAAATAGGTTATTAGGTTTTCTGTCCAATTTTTTTTCAATAGGAGCCTGGAGTCAGGTAGTTAGCTGTGTTTGTGTACATCGGAGCATCAAGACTTCAAATCATTGGCCCAGCGTCTAATATCCAGTTTATGAAAAGTGGGATTAGGGAGTGCACATGTATACACTCGACTATAGACTCGTGCACTATAATTATGTCTTCTGCAGACGGCTACTCTCTACAGTTCACTAATTTAAATAGGTAATTAGAAAGGAAACGGACCAGGAAGCTAAAGTAGCAATAGGCAATCTTTACAGCTCGCAGAATCTACAACAGATGGGGGAGAAAAGTTCTTAGGTAGCAGCCTCGAAACGATAATTGCAGTGTAGGGTAGCCCCCCAATAGATGGAGAGAAGACCTGGTATGACTTGCGGGAAGTTGATGAATGCAGGTGTAGGACTGTCTGCAATGAGGTTTCTTCGGCCTTGTTGAGGCTGTGATTTAATGATGATAATGTAAATGATGATGATAAAAATAAAATACAATAACAAATACAAAATTTGACCTCCTTAAAGTTCAAAACTTTATTATACAAAGTTTGTATATAAAGGGGTATTTAGGAAATATGATAACAGGCAAAATAAAATGAGGTAATGGCTAACAAACTATTTTTAATTTGTTTCGAGTTATTAATTGTGTAACATATATGATCGTGAACTGCTCTTTTTTTTTCTTAAAAATAGTTCTGCTGGGTTTCTAGCTGGTTCTTCCCACGACAAAGGTTTTTTTCCTTAACAGTGGTAAATTAAGCAAAATAAGTGACTTTCAATAAGTATTTATAATATAAATTGAAATAATAATTCTGTTTCTGTTTCAAAAAACCAAGTGCCTCTTACCTCTAACAACTCATCCCCAACTTTGTGTAGTCCTAATTTTGCGACGGGACCGTTAGGAGCTATAGCTCGTATGTAATGCCTGGCTTGCACTTCCTTGCCACCTACTACCCTTACAGTTCCTTCCAATGAGATTCCTAGACCGCTGTCTTTTTCTTTCATTATTGTCCCCACCTGAAAACAAAAATTTAATCTTATCTTATACTTTTAAACGAGTAATTCTTGTATATATATAATCGGAATATCGGAAACGGGTCCAACGATTTTAATAAAATTTAGTGTCCAGGGGGTTTCGGGGGAAATAAATCTAAGAAAGAAGAAGATCTAGCTAGGATTCATTTTTATAAAATGTCGTTTTGTCCGTGTTTTCAGGAAATGAAAAACTGCTACAATAAAAGAAGGTAAATTTTGACAATATGTTAATGTTTATAATAGCTCAAATGGGATATCGTGTAGTCCTCAAATCGTAGTCCCCGGTTCGAGTCCTGTCTTCGGTTCGACTTTTTTCCTTCTTTTTTTTAAGTTTTCTTTTTATAGAAGAGGGAGCAAACGAGCATGCGGCTCACCATCATCAACCGCAACACCAGGGGAATTGCAGGTGCGTTGCCGGCCCTTTAGTAAGGAGTACGCTCTTTTCTTGAAGGTCCCCAGGTCGTATCGGTCCGGAAAAATCGCTGGTGGTAAACTATTCCACAGAGAGGTTATACGCGGAAGAAAACTCCTCTTGTAACGTACAGTGGTGGACCGCCAAGCATCCAGATGGTGTGGATGGTATCGGGACGTTTGCCGCGTAGTGCGTTCACGAAATTTGGCGGCTGGGATTAATCCGAACAATTCCTCAGAACACTCTCCATGGTATATGCGAAAGAAAATGCAAGAGATGCAACATCTCTTCGCAGTGCCAGTGAATCGAGCCGATCGGAATGCATTCGGTCGTCGACGATTCGAGCCGCTCTGCGCTGGATGCGGTCAAGTGGAAGGAGCTGGTACTAGGGAACCCCAGCCCAGAGATGGGAACAGTATTCCATGTGCGGCCGAACCTGCGCCTTGTAAAGTTGCAGGCGGTGTGCCGGCACGAAATACTGTCCCGTTCTGCTGAGCACGCCAAGCTTTTTAGTGGCCAATTTGGCCTTCTCTTCCAAGTTACCACGAAACTGCACGTCACTCGATATGTCGACGCCGAGGATTTCGATACTGGCTGAGGCAACGAGGGGAGTGCCTTGAAACTGAGGAGATACGACAAAGGGGTGCTTTTTAGCGGTTAACGCGCAAACTTGTGTCTTCTGGGGGTTAAACTGGACTATATTTAGTCGCCCCTAATCCGAGACTCTGTTCAGCAAAGACTCGACTTCAGACACAAGTTTGTCCCGGCACTCGGAGACGTTTTCCCGAGAAATATTGGCTCGGCCGGTGTAAAGAGCATCACCAGTGCTTGATTAAAACTACTTTTACGGATTTTATCGCGTTTTATTTATATTACGCGTTTTATTTAATTTTCTTAATCATAGGATCCCAGCAGATGGTGGACACCCAGCCATTTTGTCTATCGAAATTAGGATGATTTTAGATTTCAATGGCCTCGCGAATCATCCACGGGAGGTTTTGGTGTTCTATAGCGACTCTGTACGTGTTCACGGATAAAACTATTAGAACTAAATCCCAACCCAAGCATACAACTGCAAGATTTCCAGATACTACAAAATCGTATTGCGTAGATCGGACCAAAAATTAATAATTTTAATCTGGTGGTGTCTGGTGGTTAACTATGACATTGGTCATTGTGCACTCACTAGCCGTGACCATAGGTGATGTAAAGTGCTAAAAACGTCGGAAATATAAAATAAGCGTATACACGCGATAAAATCCGTGAAAACTAGTTTCTTCGTCTTCTTTTCCATAATGAGTAAAAGCAAAAGACATAGAATTTTTCCGCTCTAGGAAGGATTTGCCTTAATTGTCACGTTTTGTATTCATCACAATCGGTTTCGTCATTCCAAAGTCCAGCGCGCACAGACAGAAAGACAGAAAATTTTAAAATGTTTATAAAGGATGTTGCTCAGCGCCACATTGTTCGCCCTGGAACCAAGAGCATCGGAAAATTGTGTGTTGTATTGTCGATCATTACGGAATTCCTATACGATCTTATTTTTATAGCGGACTAGCTGCAGAAAAGATATATTTCAAAAAAGTATCAGATTTTGAGGTTATAATAGAACTACTAATACTATGTTTTTTATCATTTAGTAGGATTTTTAAGAAACAGAAAAGCGATATCCTGAAACGTTTAACGGTTTTTAGTATAACAGAGCCGCAATTTACTCAAAATACACTTTTAATTGCATATGCATAACAAAGAGAATATAATCACTACGTTTAAGAGGTGAGAGTAAGTCAGCTCAAATTCTAATTTCGCCCCCACTTCCCCCGCGCGTCGTATGCTATGTACCGACATGTTTGTAATCACTAATACTCTAAGTAGATGGTCGTTAGATACTTATTTCATTATGTTTATCATATATATGCCTGTTTCTTAACGCCAATCCAGTCGCTTCTTATTTTTATAACGGTTATTTCCCATTTTAATTTTACGTCTTCCTGTTGCGTAATGTGTTTTCTGATCGTAAGCGACACAACTTCTCCCTTCAAAAGCCGGAGCAATACTAACGGAGCGACAGGAACCAAGCTTACGCGCCGATAGTTTAGGTAATTTCTTTTTACAGTGAAAATAATGATATTTTAAAAAAAGTAAATAACATAAGCACTGCTTTATGGTTAGTTCAGTTAGTATGCAAAGTTTCATGATCTTATTTAAAGTATTTTATGAATAACAGCGGTTTATTGTTCAGTTTGGAAATAACTTTGGATTTTTTTTTTCTATCGAGAAAATTTTACGGAATCGTGTTTTCGTCTAACATAAACCTTAACATTAATCCTCAACTTTACCACATATTTATTTCAAAATTAATGCTGCAATACTTTCGGCATAACCGAGGATCTTGCTAAGCCATTTGAGGTTATATTTCCCCTTAAGAGGCGGGACTTCCATGGTAGAAGTAAATGTATGAAAGGGCGCTAAACTACTCTACCAACATCAAGACTCAAGACATGAGATTTTATTTTTGAATAACAGTGACGACAACATAGGCGAATTATACTAGTGCTGTAAATGTCTATTCGCGAATAATTTTGTCGATATAATGTTTACCAATATATTATTTATCGTAATTTTTATGTAATAAAATTTAAATCTCTACACTGATTTATAGGAAATACATACATACAGCAATTTGTGATTATATCTCTACAATTATTAGGTACAAAAATATATATGAAATAAACCTAAAATAAGCAACGCATAATTATACTAGTAATTAATTTGTTTACTTCAGCATTGTTTTAACTACATATTTAAAATCGAGTATAATCACACTTTACATCAAACACACTTCTATTATCACTTTATTCAAAATAAAGTTAAAATGTGAAACAGATTAAAACATATCCAATAGTTCATTGAAAATTGAAAAGATCGATTACACTTGATTGCGCATCCCTATTCATTTTTTACATACCACACGACGTTTGGCGAAGATGGCTGCGATTAATGTCATTAATTGACTAGAATACATTTAATGTTAATTATGGCATGCAGCTAGGCCGTGTTATTAAAGTATTTGCAGCTAATGTAATAAAATAGATAATTAATTATCGTGTATGTCCGATGCTTTTATTTAACAGGGCCATTTTGGACATTGTCCTTTATGTCTTTTTAGCATGCAAGTAATCTCAAGAATACCCGTTATTTCAATATTATTGATAAACACATCAATTTTATTTATATGTGTGCAGATAAGTAGTAATAATTAACATTTATAGGTTTTAATTATAATTATAATAATGAAGGTAAGGGATTAATTTTAAAACTCACGATGGCATCCTTATATGGATGCTTGGCAGTCCACTACTGTGCAATTTATTAGGAGTTTTCTGGCTCGCACGATTTCGCTGTGGAATCGTTTAATACTGGCGAATTTGTGGGACCGATACAACTTAGGAACCTTCAAAAAAAATGAGCTTACTCAATTTTTGAAGGCTGGTAATACACCTGCAATTCCCCTAATGTTGTAGTTGTTTATAGGGCGAAACTTACTATCAGGTGAACCGCAGGCTCTTTTGCCATCTATAAAAAAACCAATAACACTTAAATAAGTAAGAAAGTAATGTAATTTTGTACTTACAATAATGTCATACTGGTGCTGGTGACCCGGCCAGTCCTTCTCGTTTTGCAATATATCCCGCCACTTGTCCTGTATCCTGCGCACTTCCCGCTCGGAAATGTCATCGTCCCGTCCGATCACTATCTCCGCCTCTTCCGAGGGAGACGTTGGGGAAGGCAGATGCGGTTGTATCTCTGAATCAGCCTCCGCTTCTATCACCGTTGATTCATCGTACTGTAGAGATATAATAATTATATTGTAATATTATATATGTATATATATATTTTTTTTTTTTATATTATATATTACGTAAATTATACACTTTGGTATACAAACATATATGTATGTGTGTATACCAAAGTGTACAGGACCTAGACAGAGATAGCAAGATAGCATTCTCTGTCCTACGGTACAGAATGGTGCTTATTGTCTTTAAATATGCCAGATGAGGTATCCTGTATTTTGGCCTGTCGTGCTAATTTCGCCATAAATTTAAAACCTATAGAAATAAGGTACTGCGGACGTAGTATGGCAATTTGAAATATATCTATAAACTAGCTTGCCAGGCAGACGTTGTTGACGAAACTGCACACGATGTGCAAATTTGATTAAAATCGGTTAAGTAGTTTAGGAGTCCATCGTGGACAAACAACGTAACACGTAATATTTATATCACGACATCTCTAAAACTATACACCCGATTGACTTGAAATTATCGAATTTAACATATTACATCCTGAGATATAAATTATAACCCGCGATTGGTTTTCACACTCTGAGACATATCTTTTAACCAGTGTGCGTCAGTCAATAGATCATACCGCATGCGTCGTTTACAAACAAAATTGTATTTCATACAAAATGGATTTTGTTTCGCTAAATAGCTTCGACAGTTCATTAAAGGAAGTTGATGTAAAATTATGTTTACGTGTGTTACTTTTAAGTTGAAAAGAGGATCGTCGATACATAGAATTTTTAATGAATGCTATGTAAATTTCGGTAAAGGAGACAATCGTTTTTGGGCCCACTAGAAATTTCAACGAAACTCAATGGTTACTACACAAAGAAATGATACCAATTTATTACTATAAAATATAAATAGGTAGGCTAAAGATTTCAAGAATCATGAAATGTTGAAACAAATCTGTTTTAATATTCGTATTTTGGTCATTCGTTCTAGTAAAGTATTATTAAAAAAATTGTATTAGAGATGCGCCAACTCTGAAGAAACGAGACTCGACACAATGTGATTGATATAATTATGTTATGCACATTTTATGTTATGCATTATTTATAAGAAGTAACCAAAAATTATCAGCAATGATTTTTTTTTTGATAATTAAAGTTGTTATTGAAAATTTGCATAATCTAAACTGATAGCCCAATCGATCATCCAAAAAGCTAGTGTCAATGGGCTGACGATATAGCTTGAGGCCCTTACAACTGATATAGATGAAAGATTTTTTTGTCCTAAGAATAAAGTTCTGTACTTACCACACTAAAGCTATATTTAGTAAGCGACGTGACTGAAGGGCTGGGCGGAGCGATCGGTGACCGTTTTCCATCTTGTGCCGCCAACGCTTTTTGCAGCTTCTCAAACCCCGCGCCACGTAAATATCTGATTAAAAAATGCTTATTTTATAGAATAAGGGTGACGAAAACGAGCACACAGTCCACTTGAATGTAAATGGATGCTGTGGCCCATATACACTTATACTCGATTAATAATCAACACGCAGATGCGTTGTCACCCCTGAGGACTAAGATGGAATGCCTCGTTTCCAGTAAAAAAGGGTCTCCGAATCTTTACACTCACCATATGAAACGTAGCAGTATTAAGCTACTATTTTACGCTGGTATTCTGCGAGAGCTGGTACTTCCCCGGTCGAGCCGACTCACTCGTGCTGCAACCATATTATACCTGCAGCGTGGCTCCACCACGTATAGAATTAATCATCATCATCGTCATCATCACAGCCCTTCACAAGTCCACTGCTGAACATAGGCCTCCCCAAAGTAATGCCACAAAGCACGGTCCTGAGCCACCTGCATCCATCGACTTCCTGCATATCTTACCAGATCGTCACACCATCTAGTGGGGGGTCGCCCTACACTACGCCTACCGGTACGAGGCTGCCACTCGATAGACTTGTCGATAGACAAGTTGCGCTGGAGTATTATAGGATTATCCGAGGTCCGAAGAGAGGGGGAGGACACGGTGATTCTCGAATCCGGCAACTTGTTCTATCACCGGGAGGGCGACCATCTGTCCCAAGGAGGTGTCGGATTTATCGTCCACAAGTCTCTCGTCAACAACGTTGTAAAGATTGGGAGTGTGTCGACGAGGGTCACGTACCTGATACTCAGAATCACCAAACGGTATTCGCTGAAGGTCATACAGGTTTACGCACCAACCTCGGCACATTCCGATGAGGAGGTGGAGGAAATGTATGAGGATATTTCCAAAGCCATGCATTCCTCCAAACCCACTACACGGTGTTGATGGGAGACTTCAACGCAAAACTAGGCACAAGAGAAAACGGTGAGCTGAAGTTAGGGAAATTTGGAGTAGGGCAACGGAACCGAAGGGGCCAGCAGCTGGCCGACTTTATGGAGGAAGTGGACCTGGTCGAGCCCCGACGGTTCGACAAAAAATGAGATTGACTTCATTATGACGACCAGACGCCAACTGTTCAGTGATGTCTCAGTGATCGCAAGAGTGAAAACTGGCAGCGATCACCGAATGGTTAGAGGCACACTGAACCTAAACGTTAAGTTGGAGAGGTCTCGTCTAATGAAGTCAACGCTCCGTCCCCATCGTGCTCTAATCCGAAATCCCGAAAACTTTCAGCTCGAGTTACACAACCGCTTTCAGTGCCTACAAGATTGCAATGCAGTGGACGATATGAATGACAAGCTCGTGGAAACTGTCCATGCGGTCGGAGCTAAGTTCTGCAAGACCCGCCGCAGAAGAACACAAAAACTCTCCGATCACACTCTTAATCTCCTGGCTGTTAGACGGGAGATGAGGCTGCAATCGTCAATAGATTTGACAGCATACAGGCAACTGAACAGACAGATCTCCAAATGCATGCGGCGAGACTTACGCAACTTTAATACTGCTCGTATTAAAGAAGCGATCGAGCGGAACCAGGGCTCCAAAGTCTTTGCCAGAGATCTGTCTGCCCGTAAAAGCCAACTATCAAGGCTGAAGACTGAGTGTGGCAGCATCGTTTCCGGGACACCTGAGATTTTGAGTGAGATTGAGAGGTTCTATGGGCAGCTGTACACATCATCGTTGGAGCCACACGCAAGTGTGAGTAACGATCGAAGAGCAAATCTTATCCGACACTATTCCGATGATATCCCGGACGTCAGTCTAAGCGAGATTAGAATGGCTCTCCAGCACCTTAAAAACGGCAGGGCCCCAGGCGAGGATGGAATTACAGCGGAGCTTCTGAAAGCGGGTGGAACACCGGTACTTGAAGTCCTTCAGAAGCTCTTCAATTCCGTCCTCCATGGTGGCACTACTCCAGAGGCGTGGAGCAGAAGTGCGGTGGTCTTGTTCTTTAAGAAAGGCGACAACGCTCTCTTGAAGAACTACAGACCGATTTCCCTTCTGAGCCGCGTCTACGTGCTGTTTTCGAGAGTCATTACGAATCGTCTCGCACGCAGACTCGACGACTTCCAGCCTCCCGAACAAGCCGGTTTCCGAAAAGGCTTCAGTACCATAGACCACATACATACCCTGCGGCAGATTGTACAGAAGACTGAAGAGTACAATTTGCCACTTTGCCTGGCGTATGTGGACTAAGAGAAAGCCTTTGATTCCGTCGAAATTTGGGCGGTGCTGCAGTCCCTTCAGCGGTGCCAAGTTGACTGTCGGTATATCGAAGTGCTGAAGTGTTTGTACAGTAGGGCTACGATGGCTATCCGAGTACGGAACCAGAGCTCGAAACCTATCCAACTGCAGAGAGGTGTAAGACAGGGTGACGTTATTTCCCCGAAACTCTTCACCGCTGCTTTGGAAGACGTTTTCGAGCTACTGGACTGGAAAGGATACGGTATTAACATCAATGGCGAGTACATCACTCACCTTCGATTTGCCGACGATATAGTCCTTATGGCAGAATCGCTGGAGGACTTAAGCACTATGCTCAATGACCTCAATAGTGCCTCCCAACGGATAGAATTAATACCACACATTAATTTATTTATTGTGTAATAGCAGTGAATAATATTACATTGCCTCAATTGATACAAACAAAAACAAACACAAATGTTACGCAGAAAACTATAATAACTTTCGACAGATGGCAAGAAAACATTTAATAATTTTATTGGATCTAAAAAGCGTGCATGGTGTTAGACGCAACACATCAGGTACTACATTTACTTGTCCACCAACAAACAAATAATAATATTGTCCCCAAGATGATATTTCGGTCTCAGCGGCCAATCTCTACGCACACTGCGTCTTCGCAGGACAGAATTATAGCGAACAAGCGTCTGTGCAAGTACAGGTGTACTCTCAATTCCCCACTCTCGTAGTCCGGATGAGGCGGCAATGCAATACAGATCCAATAAAGATCAGGCACAGATAACGAATAAGACACAAGTAACTTCCCGACTCCGACTACTACTGAGAATTTATTTACATAAAACCTAATAAATAATTTTGTCCCGACTCCGTATCCGATCCCGGGACCACATAATCGGAAATCGCACTTACAACCACTGAGCAATGAGGTACTGTAGGTATTCTGTGGTTATAGTAGAGCCATTCAGAAGCTGGACACACTGCAACTGTACCTAAAATGAACATTACCTTAAAGCTTTGAGTCGCACAATGGGCCCTCTCGCATCACGTAACAATGCCACTGCTTTATGATTCGTCACCCCGTGCAATGATACTCCATCCACCTGGAAAAATAGGTAAACGAGAATGTGAACACTTGATATAACGCTATGGTATTGGTCGGTATACTTGGTATGAACTTATTCCTTAAGGCCTCATCGGAGTAACGTGTATACGTGAACACGACACTTTTAAATGCCCACTTATATTGCAATATTGTTTTTTTTTATAGAAGTGGGGGCAAACGAGCATGCGGCTCACCTGATGTTAAGTGACTACCGCCGCCCATGATCAACCGCAACACCAGGGGAATTGCAGGTGCGTAGCCGGCCCTTTAGAAAGGAGTACGCTCTTTTCTTGAAGGTCCCCAGGTCGTATCGGTCCGAAAAAATCGCTGGTGGTAAACTATTCCACAGAGAGGTTGTTCGCGTAAGAAAACTCCTCTTTAAACATACAGTGGTGGACCGCCAAGCATCCAGATGGTGTGGATGGTATCGCGACGTTTGCCGCGTAGTGCGTTCACGAAATTTGGTGTAATGTTTTATTACACATGCAAATAGCATAATCATACAAATAGGTATCTAAATTCTAAAATTATTTTATTCAGTTGTCTTATAATTTTTATAAATATTTTTATTATACATATTTGATAAATTTATTATATTTAAAATATAACGGACTAATAAAAATAAATAAATCATACGATAACGATAATTGTATAAATAAGAAACAATTAGTCGTTCGATTATCGTATGAAATAGACACTTCCAAATAATATAGGTAGGCACATAATTATTGTGTCATTGAATAGTTATATGTCATTGGGACGTCGAACACCTTAATCCCACCGTGATCAAGGGATCCGTGACTAAGGGACTCGATACGTCAGGAATATGGTGCATCTCTTTGCGTATTTTACCCCATTTACCACGGGGAGTGCTCTGAGGAATTGTTTGGATTAACCCCAGCCGACAAATTTCGAGAACGCACATTGGCAAAACTCCCGATACCATCCACACCATCTGGATGCTTGGCGGTCCACCACTGTACGTTTCAGTAGGAGTTTTCTTCCGCGTGCGACCTCTCTGTGGAATAGTTTACCTCCGACGATTTTTCCGAACCGATATGACTTAGGGACCTTCAAGAAAAGAGCCTACTCTTTTTCAAAGGCCGGCAACGCATCTGCAACTCCCCAGGTATTGCAGTCGTTGTGAAGTTGACCGCCGCACTTCTCCAGTACGAGTAGGTGGTATTCACATGTCTACGAAATATTTTAATATCCCGGATATGCTAGACAGGTTTCTTCAAAATGTTTTACTTGTATTTCAATACCAGCATAAAATAGTATTTTGCGGCATAAGTAAAAGGGATCTCCGGTTCTCCTCTCTTCCCTTACGAAGTATATCAGCATTATGCTAGCATAACACTGATATAGCTAGCATAACAATGATGAGCATAAGGTATGCTCTGCGGGCGTGGTAATTCCTGCAGTTGAGCAGACCCACTCATGCTACATAATATGTATTTTCATCATCATCATCATTACAGCCCTTCACAAGTCCACTGCTGAACATAGGCCCCCCCCCTAAGGAATGCCACAAACCACACGTTACTGAGCCACCTGCATCCATCGACTTCCTGCATATCGTACCAGGTCGTCACTAAATCTAGTGGGGGTGGTCCTAGATTACGCCTATCGGTACGAGGCTGCCACTCGGGAAAATTTTTTCCCCAACGGTTGTCGGTTCTTCGAGCTATACGGCCGGCCCATTGCCACTTCAGTTTAATAATCCATTGGGCTATGTCAGTCACTCTGGTTCTACTGCGGATATCATCATTTCTAAGTTTATCACGCAGAGAAACCCCGAGCATAGGCCTCTCCATAGCTCGCTGAGCGACTTTGAGCTTCCTCACACGGCCAGCAGTAAAGGACCAGATCCGTAAGTCATCACTGACAACACGCACTGGTTGTATGTTGTGTTCATATTATGCTTTAATCCATCATTTCATCCTGTGGGTGTCCTAAGAGGCGACAGAGGGAAACGATTCAGGAGTTGAGCAGCAGCGTCTTTCTAATATCGACTATAAATAAAAAAAAACTGCGGTTGCCAAACCGCTTGCCAAGTGTGCCAACTATGGCAAATATCCCCCTTATGAGGCAATCTATGGGAGCCTATGTACAGCACTGGACTTTAATAATCTGTAATGGATGGATGTATAGAAGATAATCTACCAGGAGCACATGACCCACTGAGAGGTGAAATTATTAAATCAACAGTAATATTACAACTATGGCAAATATCCCACCCTATGAGGCAATCTATGGGAGCCTATGTACAGCACTGGACTTTAATAATCTGTAATGGATGGATGTATAGAAGATAATCTACCAGGAGCACATGACCCACTGAGAGGTGAAATTATTAAATCAACAGTAATATTACAACTATGGCAAATATCCCCCTTATGAGGCAATCTATGGGAGCCTGTGTACAGCACTGGACTTTAATAATCTGTAATGGATGGATGTATAGAAGATAATCTACCAAGAGCACATGACCCACTGAGAGGTGAAATTATTAAATCAACAGTAATATTACAACTATGGCAAATATCCCCCTTATGAGGCAATCTATGGGAGCCTATGTACAGCACTGGACTTTAATAATCTGTAATGGATGGATGTATAGAAGATAATCTACCAAGAGCACATGACCCACTGAGAGGTGAAATTATTAAATCAACAGTAATATTACAACTATGGCAAATATCCCCCTTATGAGGCAATCTATGGGAGCCTATGTACAGCACTGGACTTTAATAATCTGTAATGGATGGATGTATAGAAGATAATCTACCAAGAGCAAATGACCCACTGAGAGGTGAAATTATTAAATCAACAGTAATATTACAACTATGGCAAATATCCCCCCTTATGAGGCAATCTATGGGAGCCTATGTACAGCACTGGACTTTAATAATCTGTAATGGATGGATGTATAGAAGATAATCTACCAAGAGCACGTGACCCACTGAGAGGTGAAATTATTAAATCAACAGTAATATTACAATTATGGCAAATATCCCCCCTTATGAGGCAATCTATGGGAGCCTATGTACAGCACTGGACTTTAATAATCTGTAATGGATGGATGTATAGAAGATAATCTACCAAGAGCAAATGACCCACTGAGAGGTGAAATTATTAAATCAACAGTAATATTACAACTATGGCAAATATCCCCCTTATGATGCAATCTATAGGGGAAGCTTTATGTTTAGCAGTGGACTTTGATGGACTGTAACGATAACGGATAGTAAAAAGAATGAAGAAAGATGTGTGCGTGAGTGTGGCAAGAAGTTGGGCACGGTTTCAGCGTCACTTCAAATGTAGGCGTCAATTAATCCATTTTTTATTTGGTCTGAGATTACAATTAAAACAAAATTCCACCATCGCTGCAGCTATATTATGGTTGTAGCACGAATGGGCGGCTCGACCTGAGAAGGACCACGGAAAAATAGCAGCTTAATGCTGCTGTGTTTCGTAGAGATCCGGAGTCCATTTGTTACTGGAAACGAGGCCTTTCATCTTAGTCCTTAGCGGTGACGACGAATTTGCATGTTGATTCGTCTATGGTTCATAGCATCCACTTATCATCAGTTGAATTGTGTGCTGGTTTGTCACCCTTATTCCATTAAAAAATCCATCATCGTATCGATTTTATACCAAAAAATCTTTACAAAACCTGTATGGAACTGGTTACAATCAGTTACGTCAGGGACCAATGGGTTTTTAATCTCCATCTTCGGATTGGCCGGTCGTGCACTCCCACTTTGAGCTTTCGACAACCAGTTTTAAATATCATAATAAATAACTCATTAAATGTACTAAAATACTTTAAATCCTCAAGGAATTTAAGACCAGTGTGATCAATGGGTGAAAAGCACTATGTAAACAATGACGCGGTGTGTGCGACGCAAATCAATTTGGTATCGTTAACTTTTTCAATAGCTAATGTGAGCAATTGACGCAAATCGCTTGGCTAAAAATATTCGGCTGATTTATAACCAACTGTGAGTATTTCTGTCGATCTCATGACGCACAGGGCAGATAACTTAACAATATGCGTTAATTGATTAGCATCTTGGTTTGTTTCTCAGCTGGAGCCAGAATTTGTTCGAAAAATACAAATAATACAATACAATATCTTTATTTCAGTCATCATGTTTTTTTTTTTTTGGTGAATAGTGATATTATTATTTTATAGTTGTCCTATTTTTGAGATACAATAGTTAAAAAATATTGGCCTCTAGGGATATATAACTCAACCTAGAAATAAATAAAAACAAAAATATTACTTAAAACAATTTTTTAAACGTTTTTCATTGGCTCGTTCATGTATCGAATAAAATATAAGTATTTTTATTCAATATTTATTACAAGTAATCTTTTTTGAAAGTCAATTATTTCTTTTAGCACTGATTAGGGCAAACCTCTATCCTGGGAAGAACCAGCAAGAAACCAAAATGCATTGGCCCTCTTATACCAGCACCGATACACTATCATTTTTTAATTTTACCACTCGTTCAGGAAAACCTCTATCCTGGGAAGAACCAGGAAGAAAACAAATTAAACCCAGGTTTTATTAAATAAAAAAAAAACGAAAAAACTAATGTTTTAATCATTATGTTTTCGTAAATATCTTATTACCCCCTCTTATATTTTTTTTTATTCATATATCATTCAGCACCGATACACTACCTCAGAGAACCAGAAATCGGGAGCGACGAATGTGTCTTTGTCTTTCGCAAGAACCTATTGGCTATTGGAAATATAAGATTTCAGACGCAAATTGTTGGCGTGCAGGTCTGATTGCTTTGTGACTGTCTAAGTACCTCTTGCACCTCCATCTAAGTCCATTTCAACCTGGAGAGGAGAATCACGAATACCTTCCGCCGCGGAAACAAAGGTAACATTGTTATACCGGATAAAACATTACGATGGTGACGATCAGAGTATCACTCATCGCTCTGTTTACGACAAAGCTTTACTTACGGACGAAGT